GAGCCAGAGAAAGAGCTACTTAAGAAGCCAGAGGAGGTATTGAGAGAATACAAACTGCCAGATGGGAATGTCATCCACATTGGCGACCAGCTGTACCAGGTGCCAGAGGTTCTTTTTGCTCCTGACCAGCTGGGGATCCACAGTCCAGGACTGTCAAAAATGGTCTCCAGCAGCATTATGAAATGTGACGCTGACATCCAGAAGAACCTTTTTGCAGAGATTGTACTCTCTGGGGGCACCACTCTCTTTCCTGGGCTGGAAGAAAGGCTCATGAAAGAACTGGAACAACTGGCTTCCAAAGGGACCCCTATCAAGATCACAGCTTCCCCTGATAGATGTTTCTCTGCGTGGATTGGTGCATCCATCATGACCTCTCTGAGCAGTTTCAAGCAGATGTGGGTCACTTCTGCAGATTTCAAAGAGTTTGGGAAATCTGTGATTCAGAGAAGATGCTTTTAAAGATCCCTGAGCACGGGACAACTCAGTGTCAGATTGCAGGAGTACTAGTGGGAGGTGACATTGTCTCTTGGACTTCAGCATGATGTTAAATAAAAAAGTCTGGACATTTCAGGTTTCAGTTTATTCTTAATAGCACCAGAATTTCTGATTCGTGTCATGAATCTTTAAATGACTGTATTTCTCTCTTCTTGTCCTGTGGACCTCTTAAGTTGTTTTCTCCTGAATCAAGCTTGATTCAGGTAGGTTTCCCAGAATCTTCATTTTACACTAATGTGTTAGATGTTTCTTTTTTAAATTTTTTTTTATTTCACCATATTACAGGGGTACAGATGTTTAGGTTACATATATTGTTTTTGCCCTGCTCTAACAGACCCAGTGCCCAGGAGACAGAATAATTAAAGAAAGTGTAGGGAGGGGAAGGAAATAAAGTAGAAACAGGAATGCTAGACCATTCTTAGAGCTCAACAAACACTTTCACTGAGTTGGGCTTTAGGTTAGTACAATCAGGTTTTTGCTCTGCTGTTATGTGATTACGAAGATAAATGGAATGAAGAGAAGAGTTGAGCACAGAAACCATCATTTTTTAAGACTTTCTAAGCTCAAGGCCCCTGCTCTCAGAACATCAAGTATCAATACCTCTAATTTAAAGGTTCATGTTATAAATTTTAGCCTCAATGAAATAAAACCATTCGTCTAAAAAATGAATGATATTTTAAACACATCTTTATAACTCTGTTTATGTATGTCACACTGCTAACCTAAAAACAGCCATGAAAATTGTAAAATTATTATAGATTAGGCCTTTTTATTTTTATACTTGGGAGCATTGGTTAACAGCAATTAGTTAATTTGGAATTCCAACCAGTACCCATGATTTATGAGTAATTTTGTATTACATAATTTTCATTATCTATTTTATATTATAAATTTATACAGTAAATAGTTTTAAATTTACCCTCATTTTCAACATTTTTAATGCTAATTCTTTTGACATCATACATGTATCATATTCTGATATTATTTCCATATGTCTTAAATTAATTCTATAAAATATCCAGTGGCAATGGTCTGTTGACAGTAAATACTTTCAGTTTTTATCATAAAATACATTTTGTTGTATTGCCATCTTTCTTGCAATGGATTATCTGGGTATATAATTGTGTCTTAACAGTAACATTTTCCTAGCTCCCTTTGAAGATGTCAAAGAACAAACTATCTTCTTGTTCAACTGTGGTTTTAAAAAGTTACATGTTTATAGCAGCTCTCATATTAAAATAGACAATGAAATGATTTAAGTTTAGAATCTTTATGTTGAAACTGAATAAACTCTGACTGTAAAAAACCTTAAAATATAACAAAAAAGTACTTAAATCACACCTGCATTTGGAAATATTAAGAAAGACTTCTAAACAATTAAGGAGTCAAAGAAGAACTTTTAATGGAATTTACACACTAATTAAAGGTGGATGATAAAACACTAGATATCAACACATGGAATACAGCTAAAGTTGAAATTATTTTAATAGTAAGAAATGTATCATTTCAAATTCTTTTATGAGTAAAATCAAGGCTGAAAGTAAATGAGCTAAGTACCCAATGGGTGAAGTTACAAAAAGCAACCAAATAAACCCAGAAAAATTAGTAGGAAGTAAAAAATAGAAAATCAGAAATTAATGAGATATATAACAGAAGCATAACAAGGAGAATAAAAAAGAACAACTGGTTCTTTATGAGACAAAATAAATAAACATATCAATGGAATGAATCATTTATCAAAAATTACAGTGAACAAGTTTAAAATTATAAGAAACAAAAGTGGTCATAAATACAGATAAAGCAGAAAGTAAACAATGTCTGTATTATGAAAAACTTTATACTTAATCTTACAACTATAAATATACCTAAACTATATCTTAGAAATAGATAATCCTATCTAGTATAAAAATTTCAAAGTTATTTACAAACCTTGACACAAAATATTAGGTCTAGATGTTTGTCTAGTTAAGTTCTGTCATTCAAAAATTCTGCTTTTATGCACCTTCTGTAATACTATAGAAAAAAGAGAAAATTCTAACCCATTTTATTAGTACAACATAACTTGAAAACCATAAGAAAAATATGAAAAGAAATGTATATAAATCTCAATCATGAATATAGGTCGAAAACTAACAAGCAAAATATTAGCATAGCAAATTCGTTAATGTATGAAAAAATGCATTTATCAAGAGCAACTTAGGTTTACTCCAGGAATGCAAAGTTTGTATACCATTTGTAAATCTATAGACATAATTCACTACATCTTAATAGATGCAACTTAGAGCATTTGGTTGAAATCAATATCCATTCATGATAAAAAGTATTCAATGAGGAAGCTATATTGCTACCATAAAGTAATATTATCCACAAACCTACCCCAAACATGTTATAAAAGTATGAAATATTAAAATATTTATGTTTAAATATGAAAGAATTAAGGATTCCTACTATGACCAATTTTATTAAGGATTGTATATGAGATACTAGACAGTTCAAAAAGACATAGGAAAAACAAAAGGTATAATAATTAGAAAAGAATAAATGCAATCACCATTACCAGAGATGAAAGACTATTCTTCACAAACCTCAAAATATCTATAAAAATGTTAGAATAGAGATGATTTATCATTTTTGGGGTATAAAGTAAGTATACTATAGCCAATTATATTTCTAATGGTAGCAACAAAAAGTTAAAATAAATTTAGAAACATAATATTTACAATAGCAGTAAAGAATATAAGATTCTAGAAATAATTTTATTTATAAGGCCTTTATGGGGAAACTTTTAAAATTTTTATGAAAATTATTAAAGAAGACATAAAGAAATGAAGAGACCCAGCATATTCATCTTTAGAAATATTCCAAATCATAAAAATGATATTTCTCCATAAAATTATCTATAGATTTAATAAATTTTAATCATAATCCTAATACAGTCATGAGACATAACTACTTTCTTCTAACATTTATATGTAAGATCAAAGTGCCAAGAATATTGCAGATGGTCCAGAGATAGAACTAGGTAGGAAATCTTGGTATAAGGCATTAAGAATTACAATTAAGACACTGTGCTAATGTCTCAGGGATAGGCAAATAGATAAATATAATATTAAACTTAGTCCATAAACAAATACAGATATATTTGGAAATTTGATGGTACTGAATTGCAGATTGGTGATGCTTAGGTAAATAGTTAACCTTATGGAAAATATTAATAAATATAAATAAAATTATATATATTAGTAAATATAAATTAAAATGTGTGTATCACAAAATACACAAACACAAGGAGGAGAGAGAGAAGGGAAGAAAGAAAGAAGAGAGAAAGAAGGAGGGGGAGAGAGAGAAAGAAAGAGACAGAGAGAGAGAATAATATTATAATCAAGGACTCAAATGTGAAAGTCTATATTTATAATTTTAGATGATAATATAATAGAAGGATGTCCTTTTAATTTGGCATTGGTGGCACAATATTTTAGCCATGCAATCTAAAGAAGTTTCAGCAAAGCTGTTGAGAAGTCCTCAAGTCAAAGTTGAAGTACAAAGCAGTTCCATGTGTATCCAGAACAGGCTTGCTTTAGTATACCTACTGTACTTGGTTATTTAACAGGCAGCAGTCTATGGAAGAGTGGCCTTGGCACAAATGTGTTGATCAATCCAGAGTACAGCAGCTGAAGTCGTTGGTCAATTATTCTCCCTGTAGTCAGAGGTCTGTCAGGCACGTTCTTTTGATCTCCACACCAAGAAAGTAATCAGTCAGAAGCAATAGTGTATCTGGTATGGAACAATGACAGAGATTAGTGCTACAACTAAAGGTGTAGAGGATGCTGGGATAGGAATTTTCATTCACTACTCCAACCCATACAGAAGCTAGACTAATCTTTTTTTTTTTTTTTTTTTTTTTTTTTTTGAGGGGTGGGATCATGGCTCACTGTAGCCTGGAACTCCTGGCCTCAAGCGATCCTCCCACCTAAGCCTCCCAAAATGCTGAGATTACAGGTGTGAGCCATCAGGCCCAGCTAATCTTATAAAATGTCAGTGGACTACTTCAATTTCAAACAAGTGTCCCCAATTCCAACCACTGCCCTAGATGTGGTGTCTTTGCTGCTGCAAATTAACGTGGTCTTAGGGATGTGGTTGCAGCCATCAATCTGCTAAGTGTGTTTTAACCTGTATTTACCAAAAAGCATCATTGGAAGCAGTTCTGATTCACTTGGAATGGGCCTTTACAGGGTCTGGAAGTAGTATATTCTTAATGTGGAGATACCGCTCCAACCAATCAATATATTGCAGTATAGAAAAGATAGTCAGGCGGGCGCGCGCACGGCGCGGGAGCGTGCGCGGTGTGCCGTGCGGGCGCCATGTTGGAGGGTGGGTGTAGCGGCTCGGGGAGGTGCTCGCTCCGCCGGTCTCGCTCTGTCGCTCGCTTCCCCTGGCTCCCTTCGGGGCCCCCCGCCGCCTGCGTGCCGGCGTGTGTGCGAGGGAGGCGAGGCGTGGGGGGGCGGGGGGCGGCGCCCCGGTGCCCGGGAGGCGCGGGGAGGGAGGCGGAGGCTGCCAGCGGCCCCGGGAAGCCATGGACGTCGAGAGGCTGCAGGAGGCGCTGAAAGATTTTGAGAAGAGGGGGAAAAAGGAAGTCTGTCCTGTCCTGGACCAGTTTCTTTGTCATGTAGCCAAGACTGGAGAAACAATGATCCAGTGGTCCCAATTTAAAGGCTATTTTATATTCAAACTGGAGAAAGTGATGGATGATTTCAGAACTTCAGCTCCTGAACCAAGAGGTCCTCCCAACCCTAATGTTGAATATATTCCGTTTGATGAAATGAAGGAAGGAATACTGAAAATTGTCACTGGATTTAATGGTATCCCTTTTACTATTCAGCGACTATGTGAATTGCTAACAGATCCAAGGAGAAACTATACAGGAACAGACAAATTTCTCAGAGGAGTAGAAAAGAATGTGATGGTTGTTAGCTGTGTTTATCCTTCTTCAGAGAAAAATAATTCCAATAGTTTAAATCGAATGAATGGTGTTATGTTTCCTGGAAATTCACCAACCTATACTGAGAGGTCTAATATAAATGGGCCTGGAACACCCAGGCCACTTAATCGACCAAAGGTTTCTTTGTCGGCACCCTTGGCAACAAATGGTTTGCCCGAGAGCACAGACAACAAAGAATCGAACTTGCAGCCAAATGAAGAGAAAAATCACAGTGACTCTCTGGGATGTGAATCAGAAGTTTCCGCGCGAGCCCTGTGAAAAATAAACATGCAGATGAGGACGCCGTGGAAGCTGAGGGGCACGAGGTGAAAAGACTCAGGTTCGACAAAGAAGGTGAAGCCAGAGAAACGGCCAGTCAAACAGCTGCCAGCGAAATGTCCTCAGTTATGGCAGAAGAAACGGAAGCATCATCTTCTTCTCAGGATAAGGACAGAGAAAGGAGTGGTAGCAGGCAGCACTGTACAGAAGAGGATGAAGAAGAGGACGAAGAGGAAGAAGAAGAGTCTTTTATGACATCAAGAGAAATGATCCCAGAAAGAAAAAATCAAGAAAAAGAATCTGATGATGCCTTAACTGTGAATGAAGAGACTTCTGAGGAAAATAATGAAATGGAGGAATCTGATGTGTCTCAAGCTGAGAAAGATTTACTACATTCTGAAGGCAGTGAAAACACAGGCCCTGTAAGTAGTAGTTCTTCTGACTGCCAGGAAGCAGAAGAATTAGTAGGATCCAATTCCAGTAAAACTGGAGAGATTCTCTCAGAATCATCCATCGAAAATGATGATGAAGCCACAGAAGTCACAGATGAACCAATGGAAGAAGACTAACTATATTTAGAAACATTTAGATGCAGTATTTTACATACAGTTCTGGTTTTAACACTGTATAAAACTTTTATGTAAAAGTGGACCTTTAGTTTTACAAGAGAAGCAGGTTGTAAAATGAAGAGTTGTACATGTAAGAACTGTGAATATCAGCTCCTCTGGGTCCTGCTTACCGCTGACATTTTTTTTGGTCTGGTTAAATCAGTGGTTTGTGTATAGATTTTTTTTTTTTTTTTTTTTTTAGAATTAAAGTTTTTAATCTGGAAAGTAATAATTATAATTTTGAAAATTTTTTGAGATTATCACATTTAGTTTATACATATGCAAGAAAGCTTTTTGTCTTGTCTCTTTCTGACAGCTCTAGCAGTTTTCATATTTTGGTCATAGTTTCAACATTTTAACATGTGAATTATAGGGTTTCATGCTGGTTTCCAGATTTTATTGTTTGACTATGTACAATGGAACTTTAAGTCATATATACATATATATAATATTCTAAGGGGGGAAATGTTATATTTTTCTGTTTCTATAAGAGATGAATACAGTGGATACTTTTTCTATTGGTAATGATTGAGTTCACCTCTTTCAGAAGATATTTTCTTTCTCTTCTGAGTAATTCAAATAAAATCTGGCCCTTGTGAAACCCTGGAAATTGTAAGTCTGTTGAAATACCAGGTTAAACACATTCCAAAAGATCTGTTCAAACTGAAATTCTTTTGTATACTTCTGAGGTGCCTGAGAAAAAAAAGACTTCATTATTTATGAGAAAATGAGAAAATGTGCTTTATCTTGGAAATTGTGTTCAAACATTAGCTTACTATTTTGTAGAATGGATACTTATGAAGCTGACATGAGACCATCTCAGAAGAACCAGGCAGGTTCCTTGACCTTTTGCTTGCTTTTCTGAACATTGTGAATATTACACATTTCTTTCTAAATTATTCTAGAGTATGCAAATGTCAATGGTATGAAACACCACTGTACTGGAAGAATTAATATATTACTTTAGTCATGTACCTGAGTTAAATGACTGAAGCTTTAGGGGTGCATAGAAACCACCATAATTTGTATAACATTTTGAAGTGAATTAAATATTTTTGAACATGAAAAAAAAAAAAAAGAAAAGATGGTCAGCTTTAAGTGGGGTCCACAACAAAAGAGCACTCTGTTATAAGTCTAGGCTGCAGTTTAAGGGACTCTGATGCTTGGCCCAAATAACTTAGTAGACTCTGTTTTGTTAGAGTTATTGGTGATGGAAAAGGCAGAGTATGGAATTTATGGAGAATCCCAAAAGGATAATTACAACATAGGCCCCCTAGAATTCTGGATCAAGACAATGCAATGTAAAGCACAGCAATATACATTATAAACCATTTGAAAATGGCTCCTGATGAGCTACTCTTGCCCAATAGAAACAAAGCACCTCATCACGAGATTTCAAGTGGTTACTGGGTGTTTGATTGTGGCAATGCATTTATATGTATAATTATATACAGTCACAAACTAGGAAAGCTATATAAATACATATTTTGAACAAAGTAATAATCTCCAGAAAAACTATGCCTCAGTAAGAGAAATACAAATCACTGAAAGAAAATGGAACGAAAGACAATAATAGGCATTTCATAGGTACAAAACATATATACTAATAAATATGAAAATATCCAAACCTAATTAACAATCAAAGAAGTTGGAACTAAAATTTTAATGAGATAAAATTTCAAATTGCCAATTTTCAGCAAATTGGCAAAATTTTAAAATATGCATCATACAACATTAAATGCTACCAAATACATGAGGAAGGGGTATTCTCTTATGTTGTTTGTAGGAGTTTAATTGGTCCAATCAGTTTGGAAAATAATTGGGCATTACATAATAAAACTGAATAGTTTTGTATTTTATGATAAAATGATCTCTCATCTGGATGTTTTCACTAGAGACAATCTTATATATTTGTACCCTGAGATAAATGTAAGAATATTCATCTGAACACTGTTTTAATAGCAAAAAGTAGAAGAAATCCATATTTTCAACAGGAGAATAGATAATATATTTTAAAATATTTATGATAAAATACCATACAGCAGTGAAAATAAGTAAAGTAAAGCTACATGCATCAGTGAATGAGTCTTTAATACAAAATCTTGAGCAAAAATACATCTAATCCCAGAAAATGAATGCATTATAATACATTTATATAAATTTCAAAAATAGGCAAAACTCAGCAGAATGCTGTTTAGTGTCACACATATATGGGGTAAAATTAAAAAAGAAAAAGCTACTCAAAATTAAGAAAAAGGCTGAAAAGATTGACACAATTTTCTGGATAGTGTTTATATATAAGTTACTAGAGTCAGATGGGATTTGGAAGTAGTATATTAACAGTATCTTAGTTCAGGTTCTTGAGAAGCAAAGGCTAGAAAAGTATTCTTTTTTAAGTAATTTATTGAGAGGGTCTCTATGGGAAGGGGACTAAGTGAAGCATCATATTAATAGTAGAGAGGAAACATTAAAAAAGAAATTCAGGTCTGAACCGGAGATTAGATTCAGTATGATCCCATAGGTAATCTTCGAAGCAAAAATTGTACCACATATTTGGCCCCACCTTGAAGCAAATAGACATGTTGTTTGTTCTATGTCTGTCAGTTATTGGCCAAAGTCAACCTCTTCTAGGGGTGTGTGGTGTAGCACCATGGGCTAAGAAGCACTGCTTTGGATCAGGAAGAAAAGGGGGGAAAGTGTTAATTATTACTAACTAATGCTCACAGAGGATGGGGCAGGGGTGCACTACTCAGTAAAGGGGATTTTGATGAGTGCCAATGGCATCCACTAAGGTTTACCCTTTGCACTACTTAGAACCAATTATATCTCAAACTAACTTTATGTCATCCAGATATATATCTAGGATGTTGATTGCTCATAATTCCTGGGAAATTTTTCAAAAAGAGAGATTATGGAGCAAACTATAGCACTTAGTAATTCAAGACCTGTGTACTATGGCCATAATTGATGCTTACCATCTTTATCCTCTACCACCCATTTGGGATTTTTCTTCCTTTTTTCTTCCCTTCCCTTTTTTCCCTAATAGAAATAGTAGAAACACTGGTCTAGGTTACTTGTCTAGTGGTTTGACTCAGATCCTCAATAGTTATCAGGCCATGGGTGCTATTTCTTGCTTATTTACAGATAAAACTTAGTATGGGAGTAACAAAAGATAGATTACTTAAGTATTAAAATATCCCTTCTTGATCCACTTTTGTAGAAGCAGGCCTACTGATAAAGATCAAGGCCATTTACTCTTGCCAGTATGGTAAATTTTATCTGTGTTTGCTGATCTCTTAGCACTGGGATCTCAAAAAGGCCTGTTGGCAGGCATAGATCTAAATTTAGTGGGATACTTACTGTGTATCCTGGTGTAACTGTCCCCATCATGGGAACCAAGATCTCCATAAACATAAGGTATCGGAATTAAGGAAAGTGTAAATTCCCCAAGTGGGTCACTGGGGATGCTTATGAGTGGGATCACTCCTACTTTTACTTCTTGGTCCCTGGATCAAAGTGATCTAACTGTTAGGAGCACAGCACCAAATAATGGCCATTGGATTAAGGTGTATATTGTATCTTTAAGGATAGTGCCCTATCCTAACTAGATATTATTATCAAACTGACAATTCATCCATACTATCTAGAAATTTTTCTGATGCTCCATTAAGATGGTAGTTTCTACACAATGTAGTATGTAATATGATTAGTGTAACACACGGTTATATGCTCATCATTATACCTCCTTTTGCTTAAAGTGAGTCCTGAGTCTTTTAGCCCATAGTGATGTTATACAGGATCTCATGCTAGATACCCATTGATATGGGTGTCTTCAGATAATAGTGCTAGCTGAGGCACTGCTGGGAAGAAAAGCAAACATATTTCCAGAATATATGTGAATCTCAGTCAGGATAAAATATTACATTTTCTGTGGTGAGGGGATAGCATCCTATATGATAAACAAAAAGGTCAAGTGGATGGTCCGTCTCCTTAAAAGATGATACCATCCTGGTGGCTCAACATTGGTTTCCATTACTGTCACACTCTGGCTTGACTAGGAGAGAATACATGCTGGAAGTTTCCTGAGAAAGTCTTAAGTCAAAAGTCTTAACTCCCAATTTAGCTGTCAATTTGAAGTCACATTTTATAGGCATTTCAAATTAAGGTATAGAAGTCATTGACATTTTTCAATATTCAAGACCCCAAAATATGAGAATCTCAGTCAATATATATTGTAGGCAATAGCCTGAAAGGGTAGACTTAGGAGATTTGTGTTCATTTCCATTGTTGTTTGAAGAAAAAACCTTCTAGACTAAGTTGATTTCTCTTTTTTAGAACTTCACTATGGCAACAATAAACAGTCAACAGGTAACAGAATTGTAATTTTTTTCAATGTTTTCCTCTAGAGCCAGCATTGACAAAGTACCAACACAGTCCAGCTGACTGTTTTTGTAAATAAAATTTTATTGGAAAACAGTCATGCCCACTGATTATATGTGTTGTCTATGGCTGCTTTTGCACAAAAATAGCAAAGTTTAGCAGTTGTGAGAGAAACTGTATGCTTCACAAACCCAAAGTGTTTACTATGTGCCTATTAATAAAGATTTTGCCAACTCGTGCTCTAGAGCTACAGATGTGATGGACATCCAGTGTGCCTTTATAATATTAACATGAAAAACAGTTTTACCAAATGTTTTGCTATGGCCTAACAAACGTTAACAAATTTACAGCCTTTATCTATGTCCTCTCCATTTGAAAATGTTAGTCAATGTCATTTTGAGGTTTGTTAAAAGTGGCATTCACTCTACATACCAAAGTTTGTCCTTGTTACTTTACAAGTTTGGGTGTTGTAACTAAAACATCTTTAAAAATGGTACAAAACAGGGAAAAATATATCTCTCTTCACTTAAAGTAATATTGGTCTCTAGGTTTGTTATATAGATCAACCATGTGTAGAACCCAGAATGAGTCTATCTTATTCTGCGAGTATTGAAATCCAACTTTCATCTCATAGTTCATGATGACAGATCCACACCCTGCCATCACACCCTTATCCAAGACAGTGGAGGATAAGTGGGGGAATTGACAAAATTCACTATGTTTTTT